ATTTTTTGTATTTTTAGTAGAGACGGGGTTTCACCATGTTGACCAGGATGGTCTCGATCTCTTGACCTCGTGATCCACCCGCCTCGGCCTCCCAAAGTGCTGGGATTACAGGCCTGAGCCACCGCGCCCTGCTACATCATTTTATTGATTGTGCCTCTTGTTATTAGCTCCCTTATGTCAGTTTTTAAAGTTGCTCAAATCTCTTCCATTTTAAATAAAACTCTCCCTGAGTCCTATCTTCCTCCTTTGGTTATCACTCTATCTCTCCTCTCCGTCAAGGTAAAAGCTCTAAAATAAATTTTATGTACCCTTATGACATCTCTACTTCCTGACCATCTGTTACTTCCTACTCATTGCATTTGACTCTCCACACCCCTGCATGTGTCTGAATTTCAATAGACACTTTCAGAAGTGTTATTTATTTGATTCCTCTGCAGGAGTCCACACGGAGCACTCCCTTCTTTTCAAAACATTCTCTTGACCTCCATGTCACCTTGGCTACTTCTTAGTCTTCTTTTCAATGGCAATTCCTCTACCCAGATATTAAATGCTCCTAGTTTTCCTTAAAACTTGATCCTAGGCTCTCTGCTCTTCTTCCTCAGAGATTGTATTCAATCTCCAAGTTTTGCCATGTTTTGCTCTTGACTCCCATAATTTTGTTTCTTGTCTATCAGCAATCTGAGACTACAACATAAACATCATTACTAGCTCAGGTACCTATTTCACCTGTTTTGTTGTTTGGTTTTTTGAGATGGATTCTCCGTCTGTCTTCTAGGATGGAGTGCAATGGCGTGATCTTGGCTCACTGCAACCTACGCTTCCAGGGTTCAAGTGATTCTCCTGCCTTAGTCTTCTGAGTAGCTGGGATTATAGGTGCATGCCGCAACACCAGCTGATTTTTGTATTTTTAGTAGAGATGGGGTTTTACCATGTTGGCCAGGCTGGTCTCCAACTCTTGACCTCAAGTGATCTACCCACTTTGGCCTTCCAAAATGCTGAACTCCATTATCCAGCCTGTTCTTGAAAAGAGAGCTCATGCCTGTAATCTCAGCCCTTTTGGGAGGCTGAGGTAGGTGGATCACTTGAGGTCAGGAGTTCAAATCCAGTCTGGCCAACATGGTGAAAGCCCAGCTCTACTAAAAATATGAAAATTAGCTGGGCGTAGTTCACATACTTATAATCCCAGCTACATGGGAGGCTGAGTTGAGAGGATCACTTGAGCCAGGGGGGTGAAGGATGCAGTGAACTGAGATCACGCCACTGCACTCCACCCTGGGTGACAGAGCCAGACTCTGTCTCAAAAAACAAAAAAAAAAAAAAAAAAAAAAAAAGCCATTAGCCATCACAGATCCTATTCATGTTCTAGAAGCTCTATGTTAAATCCTGGGCCCAATCTTTCTGCTGTATAGATACTGCTATCTTATTTTTATTTTCCAAAACTTCACAGCATCTTATTGTTGTTGAGTAGATGCAGTCTATTGAAAAACTTAGGATCTCTGGAAAACTTAGAAGTTTGCTTTTTCTTGTTTTCTATAGTGCCTCATTTCTTTGGGAGTTGTTTGGCTTTTAGTCTCTGTCTTCCTTGTTGGAGGCTGTTCTCAAATGTCTGGTAATCCTGTACTGTTCTCTTCACATTTGAGAGTCAGACACAAGATGTTAGGAAGTTCTGTGTATCTGAAGGAGGGGGTGACTTTTTGACAGGCTAGCTTTACTAGGGGAGATTAGGCAAGCAAAATGGCCCCTTCTTTGTAGGGCCTTTTCCTGGGGGCAGTTCCATTTCTCCTAAGAAGAATCCTCTAGTCTTCTTCCTTAAGCATATAAGCCCCACTGCAGTGTTCTGGGAACAAAGTGGAGTGGGAAAGGCTATTGCTTTTGTGTGCTTCTAGGGCACCCTGACCTACCCATAGCACCCACCACCCATCTAATTACTTGATAACGTATGTCTTCACACTATTTCATAAGCCCAATGAGACAGGGACCACATCTGTCATTTGTACATATCCCCATCACCCAGGATAATCCGCAGTACATAGTAACACTAAGAAATGGTGCTGAATGAATAAATGGCGAGAGCTCTGGTGCTGGTTCAGGTGAACTACAGGACAATACAAACAAGAGTTGTGTTTGGGATACAGGAACCCCCAAGAATCAGAACTCTTCTATCCAGAGCATTGAGATTTTTCCTGGAATTCCAATCAAGGCATTTGCACTCTCCACAGCTTACATACAGCCTATGGCTCTATAAATGTCATGGATTCCGTTTCTCTCAGGTCTAGTCTGTTCCTCATAAGCGCTGCAGATTAAATGAACAAAAGGCATGCCCTTAGGTTATGACAAATGTTGTTTGTTCTTGGCTCCTGCACTTGCACACATTCTAATAATTATCTAAGAAACTCTCTTCAATTGATGATGTTAAGATTATGCCTTAGTAGATAACCAGTATAAACTGCTCACTCTCTGACGGTGGAATGGGCTTTAAATTCTTCTTAAATTCCTTTTAGGTGGTGAAAATATGTTCTGCTAGCTAAGAAGGAGAAACAAATTTGATCTTTGGGGAAGGAGCCTTAAATAGACACACAACTGGCAACCAGCATTTTGACTGAGTGCATATCATGCTGGGAAGCATATGGAGAAGGGGCAAAGGCAGAAAGGAAACAAACATAGATGTAAGAGAGCAGGGAGAAAGCCACCCCTTCAAGAAATAGAGGAGTAGGAAGGGAGGGGAATGCAAGGACCTATGTACTAGTTGGGCTGGGCACAGGCTAAGCTGCAATAACAGAGATCCAACTATACTGTGGCTTACAGAAGGTAGAACTTGATTCTCTCTTATTTAACAGTCCAGAAATGAGCAGTCCAGGAAGGTGGAGTGGCTTTGCTCTGTGCAGTCTTTCAGATCCAGACATCAACTTTTTTTTTTTACTCCTCTATTCCTTAGAGTATTATTTTTGACTTCATGGCTATAGCTAGGTCACTGCCCTGTGAGCATTTCAACCTAGTAGAAGGGGGGAAATTGGAAAAGTGATGTGGAAGTTGCACACATCACTTTTGCCTATACTTCCTTGGCAAAAATTTAGCACCACCTAATAGCAAGGGAGGCTGGGATATGAGTGGCCATATGCTCAAATAAAACTCTATAACTATAGAATAAGGGGAGACAGGTTTGGGAACAATTAGCAGTCCATCTCACTTTTCAAATAAATAAAAGCCGGAAAAGAAGGCCCAAAGATGGTGTCAGTCACACTGACCATGGGTACGAGACATGAAGGCAGAACACAGTGAATCATCTCCTTACCTGGTTTTGCCCACTTCAGCTGCTAGCATCTTGACTAGTCAGGCACGGTCAGTCATTTCAGGTATCTGTAAAGAAGAACCTAAAGAGCTTTCAAACTCAAGACCTTATGATAGTGATGAAAGCATTGGCTGACATTGACTAAAGACAGAATCTAGAATGTACTTAGTTGCACTGAACAAACTACACAAGGCCATGCAGTGACATCAGGCACCAAACTCACAGACCTCCTCACTACGTAGCTGGTAAACACCCTTACTAAAAGTGGGTAAGGATACAGTTTCAGTGCATAACTAGGTTGACCTCACCCATGTAAGCTGGTCAGATAAGATTGTCCATTTCTGTCATCAAGCCCTCATTACTGTTAGCAGATAGCTTTTAATCTTTGCTTGTTAACATTAAGATTGTACAGCACTGAACCTTTCTTTCTTTAACAAACTCTTTAGTGGTCTTCTCCCTGAGACAATGGAAGGGGACTTTTAAAACCTCTTTTCCTACTTGGAACCCAAACTGAATCATGGATCCTCATTGCCATAAGCGTCAGTTTCTAGAACATTATCTAATATTATACATCTCCCAAGAAACATAAGTTTAATATAAAACAAATTAAACCTCCAAAGTTGGGTGAAGTACACTAAAACTAACATCAGCTCAGATGAGCTGAGTAATGTGGATTGATAAGCCAGGCTTACATCTTCTGCAATTTGTGTGTGATACTCTGGAGTACAAACATGTAAGTAATAGAGTTCCGTTGTCCAGTCTGCCTGACTGTCCACTCTGTACTTCAAGGCGAACTTAGTCATCCAGAAAAGGCCAGGAAGGTGGGTAGGGCTAATGCTTTGCACAGTTTAATATGCATAATTAACATGGAGCTAGCTTTGTGAAATCCTAATGTTGTATACTGACCAATATGAATGATAGTACATGACCTGAAAGGTATTTTTTTATTGCAAGACTCACTTGAGTTCCAGTACCACCTAAACTGGTAACATGGTACAAAGAATGAACACTAAATTATTTGTGTGTATACACACACACACAAACATATATATGTGTGTGTATACATTCTTTGTCTATCAGAAAGACAGGATATCCACCCACCCTCTGTAGGAAATACTTTAGGTGCCCTATTCTGTAAGGAATGGAGGAACTTCCTGAAGAGGTTATAAACAAATAGATAAACAAATAGATAAACAAAAACACCCAAATCTTTAGATACTGAAGGAGGCTCACTTACTCAAGTTTAGAGTTAGGAACATACCCAAAGAAACAACAGTTAGGTAGCGTTTACTTCTTCAGAAGAGGAAACGACCTTGTATTGCCAAAGATTGACTCCAGTTTCGAAAACAAGTACTTAATATTTAACAGCATCTCTCACACATCAATTTTAAACCAAGCTTCCATTTCCTAGGAATCAGGAAAAGGGAAAAAAATGGAATTCATGTACATATTATTGCTACTTCACTACGAATCACTTTATCAGATTCCCTTATGCTCTAGGAAAAATATCTGTAAATATAATAGACCATATTTATAATGACTGCCCTAGCTATAGAGAATTAATAATTTCTTTCTGAGGCAAAGCACTGGTTCAAACATGGCCATTTCAAAGTGAAAAAAGTATGTAAAATAAATGTAGAACCCATGTCTCTTTTTTTAAAAAAGTTTTTCTTCCAACTAATATACTTACTTCTTCACCCAGGTGCATTTTTTGAATAGAACCCTCTGAAAAACTTCCAGCAGTTGAACTTGGCAGGAAATTGTGTGAGCAGTGATGGATGGCTTTCCTTTATGGATGTATTTGAGAATGTTAAGCAATTAGTGTTTTTTGACTTCAGTACTAAAGAATTTCTACCTGATGCAGCATTAGTCAGAAAACTTAGCCATGTGTTATCCAAGTTAACTTTTCTGCAAGAAGCTAGGCTTGTTGGGTGGCAATTTGATGATGATGATCTCAGTCTTATTAAAGGTGCTTTTAAACTAGTAACTGTTTAAATAAAGTGTACCCAAAGCCATTAAGTGCTCTGGGACCCCATTACTTTAAGCCTGGTAGTTAAAAAGAATCTTGCAAAAGGATGCCAAAGAAGGAAGTGGAAAGAAATTTAATTAGATGATACATGCAATAGTTTTGTGTCTTAGCTTTCCTGCTAGGGTTATCAGCTCCTTGAAGGAACTCTTGTTCATCTTTGTGTTACTTTTGGTCTGGGTTACACCAGCTGGTATACTGAATGCATATTAACTTAGTATAGTGCCTGGCATGTAACAGATTCTCAACAAATATTTGCTGAATATGAGACAATAAATAGCTACTGAATAAAGAAACAAGGATTATTTAAAATCAGAGAGAAAACTCCATATATGTTCTTTAATCCAAACAGTTTAATTCAAACAATCTGGAATGTAAAAAGCACTTTCTCATATTAGAAGGAGATCAGACTCCCAAAAAAGATCAGGATTCTTTAGTCAAGCAAAAATTGGCAGTTAACAAACAGCTAAATCAGAGGCTTAAAATTCAGGTCCTCTCCAGTATCTGCTAAGTTATGTGTAATTCCAAACATGACATTAGAGATTAAAGAAGAAAGAGAAAATGTTTCCCATTCTTTTGTACTTTATATAAATTAAGGGTACCCTGCCCTAATCTTTTTTCCAACACTTCCCCAAATAACCCTTCCCTACAAAGAAAGAAGTCTAAGAAAACTCTCTAAACATATTTAAGTAGAGGCAAGCCTGAAAAAAATGCAAAAACCTAAACGGTGTTAGCCTGTGGTTCACCTATGTTCATGGCACCTCAAATTAATGGCTTGGGTGTTGGTGCAGGGAACACTTGGTCTGTATATTGAGGTAGTCACTAGAAAAAATTCTGGGCACAACATCTGTTTAGCAATTGGGGACATATAAATATGTTATCCATAACGTTTTGGAGCCGATATTTTACAGATCAACGAATTATTCCTCTCCCTAACTTTACAGATGAGCAAGTGTAAACGATTTGCCCATGGGTTACAAAACGACTTCCTTACACAGTGGCAGCATCAGAACTGAAATTCAGGTCTTTTGCCTCCTAGTGCAGTGTTTTCCCATTACAATACAGTGACTTTGTAAAGCAGGATTAATTACACTTCACGGAGTTTACATCTTAATCACAAACTACGGGCCAAATACTTAAATTGAACTTCTTTCTTTGTCTAGCTTCAAGTGATTCGGTGGCAAGATATACTAGTGAGTCTACTGCCTATAGGCCTATGCTGGGTGAGTTCCTTATTTTTATATCCAGAAGTTAGTCAGAGCTTGGCAAGTAAGACTTCTATATATAATAATGCATGGGCCAATGTCTCCTGTAACATCTTACATTCAGGAAGCAGGGCCAATTCTTTCATAACCCACAGGTAACTGTCCTTTCTCAAACAGTGTAGGTGGGTATTAAAGCACCTTTGGTGGGATAGCTGCACAGGTGTTATTTCTGAATTGGTGTTGAGGAAGTAGGCATAAAACCTCATACAGAACTGCGTTTGGTACCTAAACACTTTTAAAATCCCATGGGGAAGAATGGGATGGCAGCACATACCTCTTAACCATAACTCAGGATATGGCAGTTCAGATTTCATGCATGACCCTAATTCACACTTAGATGAGATCAATGAAGGAAGAATCATCCTGTAATAGTAGACCAATAACAGATAGCGTAATAGTTAGAGAATATAAGACAAAGGACAAGGAAGAGGTTGCCTTATTACATTTTACAAAGTATCATTTTCCCCAGTAGTCAAGGGAGCATGGGCTGTATTTCTTCAGCAGGTCACATGCCTGAACAGGGTTGCAGATGTCAAAGACAGTGACCAAATCCTCACTAAGTAAAAGGTATTTAGGATATGGACATTTATACCACAGATGACAATTCTGCTTGACAGAGACGGCTTCTTGGATGTTTTTAATCCACGGTGAAGAAAGTGTTGCTCCTATTTGAAAGTGGATGAGTTGACTGAAGAAACTGTTGCAGATTATAGAAAAACAAAAATCTTCTCTAGATAGCTGGCTGATGGCTGGGAAAGTCATAAATCTCCAGGAGCACTGGATTTCAGGAAAGTTGAGTCCATTGTCAAAATCCCTTTTTAACACTGTTATAGAATGAATAATAAAATAAAACAGTAACAAAAAACCCTCATAGGTCATGTGTGACTGCTGCTTGTTCTACTTTTTGGAAGTAATACTAGCCACATTAGAAAGTCCTTAAACTCTGCATTTGGGGCTGAGCATGGTGGCTCACGCCTGTGATCCCAGCACTTTGGGAGGCTGAGGCTGGTGGATCACCTGAGGTCAGGAGTTCAAGACCAGCCTGGCCAACATGGAGAAACTCCGTCTCTACTAAAAATACAAAAATTTAGCTGGATGTGGTGGTGCATGCCTGTAATCCCAGCTACTCGGAGGCTTAGGCAGAAGAATCACTTGAACCTATGAGGCAGAGGTTGCGGTGGGCCGAGATCATGCCATTGCACTCCAGCCTGGGCCATAAGAGCGAAATTCCATCTCAAAAAACAAACAAACAAACAAACAAAAAACAAAAAAACTAAAAACTCCACAAAACTCTGCATTTGGAAAACAACTAAAAAATAACATAATATACATAATTCTTGTACTTCATCACAGTTAACAATTTCCTATTTTTGACAAAGCAAAACAAAAGCTAGAAACTGCCCACTGCAGACCTAACAATGCTATATTCTATAATCTAAGGTCCATTATGCTTTGATAAAATTATACTATGTATACTCAAATTCTTTGTGTAACTTGAAAAGACATTGAATTCCATAATATATATGGAACTCCATGTGTTTTGGTAATATATTTGATGTATTTTGTTAATAAAATAAATTAAAAAGTCAATCAATGTAAATATGGCAGAAAAGATAAATTCATTATGTCAGTATTTGATTAAATGTAATACAGAAAATTGGGATTCTTTCACTGCAAATCACCAAAAATTGGGTGTCACTTAATTAAAATAAAACACTGAGAGCCATTTACAGACTATTTACAAATGTACTGAAATTTTTAAATGAGAGAAACTTTAACAAAAACCTTGATGATTTAAAAATTCAAATTGTGCTACATAGACTGTATTCCAAAATTGCTGCTAAAAAATTTGCTTTTAGGTTACAAGACATAATTCAGGAGACCCTCAAAGAAAAATGTAGCAATTAAGTTTGGAAAAGCTATAAAAGAGACTTTTACATTTTGAATAGACACTCTTCCCTTTCCCAAAATGTGTATTAGTCTAGAAGCATGTTTATAAATTTCACTAAAGAAAACAGCCAGGTGCGGTGGGCTCACACCCAATCCCAGCACTTTGGGAGGCTAAGGCGGGTAGATCACAAGATCAGGAGTTTGAGAAGAGCTTGGCCAACATGGTAAAACCCCCCATCTCTACTAAAAATACAAAAATTAGCCAGGCGTGGCGGCAGGCACCTGTAATCACAGCTACTCGGGAAGCTGAGGCAGGAGAATCGCTTGAACCTGGAAGGCGGAGGGTGCAGTGAGCCCAGATGGCACCACTGCACTCCAGCCTAGGTGATAGAGTGAGACTCCATCTCAAAAAATTAAACAAAAACTAAGGAAACCTTAATAAACTATCGCCTTAAATTAATAATAATGGATTGGCTGGGCACCACGCACAGCAAGACTCGTCTCAGGGAAAAAAAAAAAAAAAAAAAGAGAGATATCGTATTCTTAGTAATGTGACAGATCCATTCCATCAAGTGGCTTTTATAAAGGTAAGGTCATATCACACTGCAGTCAACTACAAAACCAAAGATACCAAAATCCAAATTTAAAGAAACACATTTCTAAAGGAAGCCTATTTAAAGACTTTAACATTTATGAGGATTTCAATGTCGCAAGTACATTTTACAAAAATATAGTTTCATAGGTTTCATGAAATGTGAACAAGCTTACTGTTACCTAACATCTAGAGTAAATGATTAAACAGTCAATGCAAACTTGGATTACTAAATAAATTGGAAGCCACAGAGACAATATTCCTCATAAAAATAAGTTAGAGTCCATCATGGTCTTGGTTGTCCAATTCTATTATTAGTTCCATATCTACTTGGTATATTTGTAAAACCAGTCCTCAATCCTTGAGTTGCTCCAATTCCTGGAACTCCAAGTCCTTGATTAAGCATGCTGCTATAAGGTGTGTGTCCATGATTAAGACCAAAACCATAAGGCCTTGTTTGTGTGTTTAGAAGAATAACTGGGTTCACATTTTTCCCAGGAGTGTTAAATGAAAATTCTGGAGGTGGACTACTAGGTTTAGCAGGAGTTGATGTAACTGGGTTCAAATCATCAGTACCCTTTAAAAGAGGCATTGGGATTATGTGATGATCTGAAAAATTGAGGACATTGGCTGCAACAGGCCCAGACAATAAGGCAGGCCTAATCCAGTCATCCTTAAAAATTTGAACAGTCAGAGTAGACACCAGAGTGTACAGTCTGTTGGTCACATGAGCAAGAACCATTTGTTCGTTTGCATCTCGTCGAATTCTTACATGCACTGATCCAGCCTAAAAGGGGCAAAATCATAAGAGAGATTGCTTAGAATTATAAGGAAAATTCCATTAGAAACAAATATTTTATTTATGATTTGGTAAGTTCTTGGCATTTTATCTGAAAGAAAAAGCTTAATGTTATTTCTTAAAGACTACTTGCTGGTGATTATCATTGCAATGAGTTAAAGAAATAATTTGTGACTCTTTAAACTACAAAAAAGGAAAATCCATGTGCAATCAAGATGGCATGTTATAATACAAGGAAGAATATAAATGAAGCATATGAAAAATACAATGGAAGAGCTGAAAAGGTAGGTATTTCAAAAAATGAAGACATGCATTCCACACTGAGGGAAAAGCAATTAAAATGTATGGCATACTTGGTAAGAATAAGCAATAATACTAATATAAAAAGAAGTCCTGGCTGGGCTCAGTGGTTCACATCTGTAATCACAGCACTTTGGGAGGCTGAGGTGGGCAGATCACCTGAGGTCAGGAGTTTGAGACCAGCCTGGCCAACATGTTAAAACTATGTCTCCACTAAAAATATAAAAAATTAGCCAGGCATAGTGATGCATGCCTGTAATCCCAGATATTCGGGAGGCTGAGGCAGGAGAGCTGCTTGAACCCGGGAGGCAGAGGTTGCAGTGAGCCGAGATCACACCACTGTACTCCAGCCTGAGTGACAGAGTGAGATCCCGTCTTGAATTAAAAAAAAGAAAGAGGCCGGGCGCGGTGGCTCAAGCCTGTAATCCCAGCACTTTGGGAGGCCGAGGCGGGTGGATCACGAGGTCAAGAGATCGAGACCATCCTGGTCAACATGGTGAAACCCCGTCTCTACTAAAAATACAAAAAATTAGCTGGGCATGGTGGTGCGTGCCTGTAATCCCAGCTACTCAGGAGGCTGAGGCAGGAGAATTGCCTGAACCCAGGAGGCGGAGGTTGCGGTGAGCCGAGATCGCGCCATTGCACTCCAGCCTGGGTAACAAGAGCGAAACTCCGTCCCAAAAAAAAAAAAAAAAAAGAAAGAAAGAAAAAAAAGAAAAAAAAAAAAAAAAAGAAAGAAAGAAAAAAAAGAAGTCCAAGTATTTCAGGGGGCAGAAGAAGAAGAGAAAAGAGGGAGAGAAGGAAGAGAGGAAGGAAAAAAGAGAGGGAGAAACAGAGAAAGGGAAGAAGGAAAAAGAGAAATGATAGGTAGGTAATAAGGTTAAAAAGAGGCTACCAGAGGACTCTAAAGTGATAAGGAGTTTTTATTTAACAGCAGCAACCAAACAGAAATAAAATAATCAGAGTTCAGAAAAACTGTAGGTATGGATGACTAGTAATCAGGTAGGAAAAAACTGCAACAATCTAGATTAGAAATGAGGAGAACTGCCAGGTGCAGTGGCTCATGCCTGTAACTCCAGCACTTTGGGAGACCAAGGCAGGTGGATCACCTGAGGTCAGGAGTTCGAGACCAGCCTGGCCAACATGGTGAAACCCCATCTCTACTAAAAATACAAAAATTAGCTGGGCATGGTGGCATGCACCTGTAATCCCAACTACTTGGGAGGCTGAGGCAGGAGAATCGCTTGAACCCGGGAAGTGGACATTGCAGTGAGCAGAGATCATGCCACTGCACTCCAGTGTGGGTGACAGAGCAAGACTTCATCTCAGAAAACAAAACAAAAGAAATGAGGAGAACTGAACTAGGACAATAGTGGAATCAAAAAGGGACAAATAGATACATCATATTCCGGGGGCAGAAATGGAAGGACCAGATACCCAACTGGAAATAAAGGATGACGGAGATTGACTCATCAAAGATGATCTCAGGGTTTCTAAGGGATACAGAGCATCAGGCATTACAATGAGGGTTAGAAGTATATTTGTTTACTTGAAAAAGTGTTTACCATAAATTATGGGGTTTTTTTTAGTTAAGTTTTTTTGTTTTCTTTGTAAAGATGAGGTCTCACCATGTTGCTCAGGCTGGTCTCGAACTCCTAGGTTCAAGCGATCCGCCTGCCTCAGGCTACCACAGGGCTGGGATTATAGGTGTAAGCCACCATGCCTGGCCCATAAACTATGTTTTTAAAGTAGATAATACTACAGTAGGTACAGCAAATGATCCTGTTTTGGTACACA